ACATGCTAAACTAGACATAAATCTGATCCCTGCATGAACCAGACTACTACATTAAACCACAAATTGAAAATTTGTGGCCTGTTTGTTTTCTGAGCACAGCCGCAACATTTAATTGGATTTTGAGTTTAGTCAACTATGCAATCCAGGCAATTAAAATAACCTAATAAACCACGATTGGTTAAATTATGAATTTCAGGAGGGCTGTCAAAATGATTGATGACTATTGTGATCTTGGATCACCCAGTAAGGAATTTATTGCTTTTTATTGAATACAGGTAGTCCTCAACATGCGACCATATTTGAGCCTAAAATATTTGTTTATAAGTCACACAGTTGTTAAGTGAATTTGGTTCCATTTTAGGACTTTTCTTGCCACCGTTGTTAAGTGAATCATTGCAGGTGTCAAGTTATTAACATGATTAAGTGAATTTGGTTTCCCCTTTGATTTTGCTTGTCAGAAGGTCACAAAAGAGGATCACATGACCTCAGGACACTGCAACTGTCATAAACAGGAGTTAGCTGAAATTTGATCACATGACCTTGAGGATGCTGCAATGGTCACAAGTGTGAAAAATGGTCATGTCACTTTTTTCAGTGCTGTTGTAACTTCAAATGGTCACTAAATGAATTGTTGTAAGTTGAGGATTACCTGTATATTGTTACTGTCCTGATTCATGTTAACTCTTAGTGGAAGGAGAAAACTATTGGTCAAAAATAAATTGGACTTTGCAGTTTCTTTTTTGCTTGTGGCTGGGGATGCTGGGATTTGTAATCCCACAATCCATAGGCATCAGGTTGGAGACAGCAGAGGAACCCACCAAACTAAACCAGTTTTTGCAACAGGTAGTCCTTGACTTATATCCGTTCACTTAATGATGGCTCAAATGACCTCTGAAATAGTCAATTATGACCTAAATTCAAACTTATGACCTTCATCCTATTCCTGAAGTGAGGTGATCACAATCTGGGCACTTGGCAACTGCAGTTGTTAAGTGAATCACACGGTCATTAAACAAATCCAGCTTCCCCCATTGACTTTGCTTGCTGGAAGCTGGTGGTTAAGGTTGCAAATGGTAATCACATCATCCAGTATGCTGCAACCATCATAGATAAATGCTGGTTGCCAAGCAACCAAATTTTGATCACCTGACCAGTGATGCTATGATGGCATAAGTGTGAGAACTTAGCATAAATCACTTTATTCAATGCCATTGTAATTTTTAACGGCCACTGAACAAATGGTTAAAAATATGATCTCGAGTGAACATAAAATAACAGAGTTGGAAGGGACCTTGGAGGGTCTTCTAGTCTGACTCCATGCTCGAGTAGGATACCTAACTATTCTAGACAGGTGTCTATCCAGTTTCTTCTTAAAAGCCTCCAGTGATGGGGCACCCACAACTTCTGGAGGCAAGTTGTTCCACTGGTTAATTGTTGTAACTGTCAGGAAATTTTCCCTTAGTTCTAGGTTGCTTCTCTCCTTGGTTCGTTTCCATTCATTGCATCTTTCCTGCTTTCAGATGCTTTGGAGAATAGATGGACCCCCCCTCTTTCTTTGTGTCAACCCGTCAAATACTGGAACACTGCTATCTTGTCACCTCTGGTCCTTCTTTTCGTTAAATTTTACACACCCAATTCCAGCAACCGTTCTTTGCATGTTTCATCCTCCAGCCCCCTAATCCTCTTTGTTGCTCTTCTCTGCACTCTTTCCAGGTTTTCAACGTCTTTTTTATATTGTGGTGGCCAAAATTGGATGCAATAATCCAAGTGTGGTCTTACTAAGGCTTTGTAAAGCAGTAGTAACACTTCACATGATCTTGATTCTCTATTAATGCAGCCTAGAATTGAGAGTGAATCTCACTGGGTTGCCTCTGGGTCTTGGGCCAGGAGGTTGGGGCAAGGGATCATCTTTGCAGAGGTGGATTTGCCCAAAGACTTCTGCCTCCGAAAGATCAATGACACCCTTAGAAAAAACATGTCTTATTTCATCTTTCCTTCATCCACTTAACCTGTAAAGACGGCAACAGCAGAGCTCCAGTTGCTGACAGCTGCCTTCCTCTTATCACCCGAGCCATCCAGCCTTCATCAATATTTTTCATAATTCTCTTTCCCGAGCTTTTTATTTTTAAATAGAGATTTGCCTTCTTGCCTTCTTTCATATTTTCATTAAATGTTTTAAAAGAAGGTAGATAACTATTAAAGAAGAAACAAGAATCAAAAATAAAATGCCTGGGAATAGGCAAGGGATTTTGAAAGGTCACAGGATTAGAGCTGTCCAGTGTAACCTTAGTTAATTATGATGAACTGAATATATTATCTTAAAAAGGCTGAAAATTGGTTTTAAGCTCTACGGGGAATATTAATCACAAGACACACAGTCAATACAGCACAAGTTATAATAAAAGGGAGTAAATTCAGTGCATATTACTGAAAGTCTATTCAGATTGAAATAACCTCTAAAATTGAAATATAGCATCTAAGACACAGGAAAAAAACAAATTTTGGATATATAGGTACTCTCAATGTACGACCACAATTGAGCCCAAAATTTATGTTGCTAAGTAAGACATTTGTTAAATGAGTTTTGCCCCATTTTATGACCTGTCTGGCCATGGTTCTTAAGTGAATCATTGCAGTTGTTAAGTTAGTAACATGGTTGTTAAGTGAATCTGGTTTCCTCCTTGACTTTGCTGGGCACAAAAGGACACACTGCCAACCATCATAAATATGAGCCAGTGGTCAAGCCTCTGGATTTTGATCATGTAACTGTAGGGAATGCTACAGTGGTTGTAAGTGTGAAAAATGGTCATAAGTCCCTTTTTTCAGTGCCATCGTAACTTTGAATGGTCACTAAATGAACTGTTGTAAGTTGAGGACTACCTGTAGTACAAATCCAGGTGTGACCTATGAACATTACTACCCCCCAACAGCTGCACATTCAGCAGAACTACATCTGGACTCAGAAGTCTCCATGATTCTTTACTCTGAGGTCCTCAGTTTTTGGTGGTAGACTGCTCTTCACTGTGGAAGTTCCATCATCTTCCATTGATTCTTATAGCCTTTCTTCTTCCCGCCCCCCCGCCCAATTTTTCCTTTTTGAAAAAAGAGAGAGTCAAAAGGGCATCCTTCACTTTTCAAAGCAACAAAGGAACATTGAGGGAGCCTCTGTGTGTGTGTGTGTGTGTGTGTCTTCTGAGCATAAACAGAGAACTTTCTGCTTTCTCTTGGCTGTGGCAAGACTGAAGAAAGAGCAGAAGGGAGAAATTTGGTCTGAATAGTGTTGCCAGGAGCAGAGGACAATGTGACACCAGTATTGACATGAGGAATAGCGACTAGGGAGCATATCTGTCAATTTGCAGATGGAAAATCAATGCTGGCTTAATTTTCTATCCCAGCCTCCTGTTTCAGCCTCGGCTAAACCTGAGCGAAATTACAGGATGAGGAGAGAATCTACAGGAAGCTGTCAACTTAGAAACATTTGTTTAGTGATCATTCAAAGTTACGACGGCACTGAAAAAAGTGAAATGACCATTCTTCACACTTATGACCGTTGCAGCATTCTCATGATCACGTGATCAAAATCCAGACCCTTGGCAACTGATTCCTATTTATGACAGTTGCCCTGTCTGGGGTCACATGATCACTTTTTGTAAACTTCAGGCAAGCAAATTCAATGGGGAAGCCAAATTCACTTACTGTGTTACTAACTTAACATCTGCGGTGATTCACTTAACGATGGCAAGAAAGGTTGTAAACACAGGCAAAACTCAGTTAACACTGCCTTGCTTAGCAACATAAATTTCGGGTTCAATTGTGGTCATAAGTCGAGAACTACCTGTATTGCTTTCTTTGTACCTTCTGCAACTTGGCTGAGGGACAATGGGCCCAATGAGGATAAGACCCTTATGATTACATTAACAACTTAAACTTGGTTGGAGTTAACCTGGGTTATTTTTTCCCCCCAGGCACAGCATGAACATGTAAAAAACAGCTTTGTGGCAGTTGCTCTATGGGCAGTTCAAGAATACACACGTTAGTCCAGGAACAGGTTTGAAGGTCTTACATGAAGGTGACTTTGGGATTTGAGTGACGTACTAGAGCAGTGTTTCTCAAACGTACCAACTTTAAAAGGGGTGAGCTTCAAGTCCCAGAATTCCCCAGCCAGCCAGCAATCCTGGGAGTTGAAGTCCACCCTCTTAAAGTTGCCAAGGTTGAGAAATATTGTTCTAAATCAAGGAGGGTGTTTTGAGTGAGGCAATTCCAGACGTGCGGACTTCAACTCCCAGAAAGGCAATTCCCCTGGCAATGCTGGCTGCGGAATTCTAGGAGTTGGTCCATCGATCTTAAAAATAGCTAAGGTTGAGAAATGCTAGTGTTAACCTGTGTCATCTTGCTCCAAGAACTAACTAACTAATGTAGGGAGCCTGTGATTCCCAAATTCCTTGACCCAGTTACAGAGTTTGTGTGCTCTGGAGATTGAACTCAGCTAGTGACTGGCTGAGTTTATAGCAGGAGTCAGGTAATTCCTGAATTAATTTTTCATATTCATTACAGGATGGGGAATGGGAGGTTAAATTCTGACACTGTGTTGGAAAGATCACTGGTAAAGATTTGTCTGGGTTAGCATAATGCAATTCTCTGACCTCGAGAACAAAAACAGATATTTTTTAAACAGTGTGGAACAAAAATAGAGTTATCAGACTTATTTTTCAGCAATCAAGGGCCGGAGACCTCCAGCCTCACGACTAGATGGGGGCAATATCTTCCCTAACTCAACCCTTCTTTTGCAAAATACATTATGTTCCTTGTAGTGGTTTCTGCACTGAGAGGGAGCTGGAATAGGTTATCTTTGCTGTCCTTTCCTACGGCACGAAGCTATGACGCCTAACACATTTTTATTTTATTTTCAGGAGTGAAAACTTCCTTCTGTCAAAAACCTACTAAAATGGGGGAACATAAAACAGGAAAAACCCCAGTTTAAGAAGGAACGGAGGTATGGAGCAGGTGTCAAATTTATTCTAATTATTATTACATCTTTGAATCCAGTTCTTGGTACAAATATACACACATTTCTAAAAGGCCTTGGGGTGGGGCAGAAGCTTCTCCTATTTCCCTTGCCAAAGTGCTTTCAAAATGGAGAGGCCCCATCCTCCAAAGGACACGCCCCACTGAATTTGGGGAGGGGAGAGCACTGGCAGACCGGCTGTGGTCCCCGAGAAGGACGAGGTGTTTCTGTGAAGACAAACCACAAGAAGTTAGGTTGAAAGTATGAGATACAGGATCTCCAATTACAGGCAGTCTTCGATTTACGACCACAATTGGGACCGCAATGTCTGTTGCTAAGCGATGCAGTCTTTAAAGTAAGTCGCGCCAAATTTTACGACCTTTTTGCCACCGTTGTGAAATGAATCTGGCTTCCCCATTGACTTGCTTTGGAACCTGCCTGGGAATTTTGCAAATGGCGATCACAGGACCCTACAAGACATTGCGAATACATGCCCATTGCCAATCACCCAAAATTTGATCCTGTGACCATGAGGGTTGCTTAGCGACCACTTACTTCACTTAACAACCTGGCGATACGCTGGACAATTGCAGCAAATGGCCGTAAAGTCACCACATTGCTTATTGACAAACATTCCAGGCTCAGTCATGGTCGTAAGTTGAGGATCACCTGTAGTAGCAGTAATAATTATAACAGGACGTAGCGGGTATGGGGAGTGGCCTTGAAGGACAGGAAGAAAAGCTGCGAGGGTCAGAGAAGGGCCTTGAGCCAGGCCAACAAAATACAGATAGTCCTCAATTTATAGCCATTCATTTAATGACCATTCAAAGTTACAAGGGGGACTGAAAAAAGCGACTGATGAGCATCCCCACGTGATCAAAACTCAGGCGCTTGGCAACGGACTCATATTTATGACGGCCGCAGTGTCCGAGGGTCATACGTGATCCCCGTTTGCAACCTTCTGAAAAGCAAAGTCCATGGGGAAGCTGGATTCACCAAACAACCACATTGCTAACTTAACAACTGTAGTGATTCACTTAGCAACTGTGGCAAGGAAGTTAGTGAAACGGAACAAAGCTCGTTTAACAACTGTCTCGCTTAGCAACGGAAATGTTGGGCCCAATTGTGACCTGTAACTTGAGAAAATATCTCAGGCAGGAGAGGGGAGAACCCAGGAACTGTTTGCAACCCTAACCTCATGCTTGGATTCCAGGCCGTCTGCTGAGCTGAGCTGGTCTCATAGCTTCTCATCAAAAACCCCGTCTTCCCCAGCCTGTACGTCTTCCTCCTGGATTTCTGAAATAAAATCAGAACTGGGGTAAGTAAGTCAAATGCAAACAGAAAGAGACTTTTCTTCCCTTCCCTCTCCCCCCTCCAACCCAGCATTCACATGGCACATTTAACTTGAATTCTAGTTGGTCTCAAATGAAGCCAGACACTGTCCAAGCTGTAGAACAAGAGTCTTCCAACTTGGCAAGTTTTAAGACTTGTGGACTCCAACTCCCAGAATTCCTGAGGTGACATGACTGGAGGAGGAGGAATTCTGGGAGTTGAAGTCCACAAGTCTTAAAGCTGTCAAGTTTGAAGACCCCTGCTGTAGAACAATAAACCAAGGTAACTCTAACCAGGTTGCCCTACCATACCAGCTAACTTTTAGTTGCTTGGCTGTATTGAGAGAACATTCTGGCTTGATCTGTAAATGAGGTGAGCATAGCCTGGGATGGTGATTGGCACCACAAGCCACCTATGAGAATTTCCCCCAATTGTCTTCTCTTATATGCAAAGAGAAGTAACTTCACTGGACCGAATGAGAAGATGGAAGGCAGGGTTTTTCAACCTTGGTAAGAGGGGGTGGACTACAACTCCCAGAATTCTCCAGAAGGCATGAGATGTAAAGTCCATGCAACTTAAAGCATGCCGGCTGGGAAATTCTATGACTTGAAGCCCAAGTAGTCCTCAACTTCTGACCACAACTGCACTCAACTGTGTTACTAAGTGAGACAGTTGTTAAGTGAGTTTTGATTCATTTTACAACCTTTCTTGCCACAGTTAAGTGAATCACTGCAGCTGATAAGTTAGTAGCCTGGTTGTTAAGTGAATCTGGCTTCCCCATCGACTTTGTTCGTCAGAAGGTCGCAAAAGGGGATCATGTGACCCCGGGACACTGCAAGTGTCATAAATATGAGTCAGTTGCTGAGTGTCTGAATTTTGATCTTGTGTCCATGGAGATGCTGCAACAGTCATAAGTGTGAAAAATGATGATGTCACTTTTCCCAGCGCTGTTGTAATTTTGAATGGTCACTAAAGGAACTGTTGTAAGTCAAGGACTATGTGTATGCTTGCTGGGAATTCTGGGAGTTGAAGTCCACACAGCTGAAAGCTCCAAGGTTGAGAAACACTTGTGTAGAGAAATACAGTACGAAGGAGAGTGGGGGACTTCCTCTGCCCCACCTTTCTTTGAACAGCAGAGGGCGGTGTTCTACTACAATTCAAGCATCAAACACTATTGCTAGTCACCTGGAAGTCCTGTTTCCTTTACCTGGCACAACTAATCATGGTTAGTTTTATCTAGGTTAGTGACACAATGGCTTGGTGCCTTGTGGGAGCCCGCCCTGTTTGGTTATGTATTGATTTGATTTTTACGGTTGCCCATTTGTCAAGCAATAACAATCACAATGGACATAAGCAACTTTAGTTTCACAGAGACATTTTAGATTAAAGTCTTTTTTCTGGGTTTGTGGCTTTTATCCAACCACCAATTTGCAGCCAGAAAAATGGAAATGGAAATTACAGGGTGATCACAATGGTACTAAAAAAATGTTCTTTTATTCTTTAAGAGTTATAGTTATTTGTGTAAATGAATATGTTCTTTTATTCTGCTCTCTGACTCTTGTTCTAATCAAATTGTTAAGCTGTTTGTAATGTTGTATTGCTCAGCAGCCAAAATAAATAGTTTGATTTGACTTGATGCAATTACCATTATCTGGATCCTGAAACTAACCAATTTGTCTATGTTTGCTCAATACAAAGAAACACACATTAACCAGGCTTAGATGAGTTTGCACAACTTTCTAAAATTCATACACACAATGGGTGGGCATACAAGCATCACTGGGTTCAAATTAGCCAAGCTTGAATGCAGACTTCTAAATCCTCAGCTGACCTGGTTGTGTGAACTCCAAAAATGAGCAAATAGTTTAATTCACTATCGCATTAACTACTTGTTGCATGAAACTGCAATACAGGTAATCTTCAACTTACGACCACAATGGAGCCCAAAATTTCTGTTGCTAAGCAAGACATTTGTTAAGTGCCCCATTTTACTACCTTTCTTACCACCATTGTTAAATGAATCACTGCAGTTGTTAGCTTAGGAACATGGTTGTTAAGTGAATCTGGCTTCCCCATTGAATTTGCTTATCAGAAGGTCACAAAAGGGGATCACATGACCTGGGGACACTGTCATAAATGTGAGTCTGTAGCCAGGTGTCCGAGTTTGATCACATGACCATTGGGATATTGTAACAGCCATGTGAAAAATGGTCATAAGTCACTGTTTTCAGTGCACTTGTAATGAACGGTCACTAAATTAACTGTTGTAAGTTGAGGACTACCTGTATTTTGTGGCCACAGCAAGAAATGCAAGGTCTCGTTACAAATTGAAGGATCATTTTTTTTCCAGCGGCAATTTCTACACAGTGAACACATCACTTTGTCTACAGCAGTGTTAATCAATCTCAGGAACTTTAAGAGGTATGGACTTCAACTCCCAGAATTCCTCAGCTGGCTGGGGAATTCTGGGAGTCGACATCCATACATACCTCTTAAAGTTCCTGAGGTTGAGAAACTGGTCTGAAGGAAACAGCTGTCAGGAAACGTGGTGGTATTTTATCATGGAAGGAAGTCAGTTTGACTCACAGGGTGAGGCCACGACTACGCAGCGATGTTGAAAACCGCTTGTGGTCTCCCTTTATTCAAAGGACAAGTGTTGAAAAATAAAAAGGGGTCTGCCGCAGGATAGAAACAGGAAAAGGCAGCGCTGCGTGCCAAAAGCAAGCAGGCAAGTCCAAAATTGCAAAGGAGATGGTCATCAGTGGCAGAAAATATAAAATAACCCAGAGAGGCCGTAAATTAGAGGCGGGCAGCAATTTTATTCAGCCTGGGAAGAGAGCGCGATTTTGCAAGGAGGAAAGAGCGATTTTCTCTCTAACGGACCAATTCAATTTGTTCGTTCCTTATTAAGGTCACCGGCCTCTTCGCTCTGGGTGGAATTTTATCTGCTCGGCTCAAGTATGACAAACAATACATGCCATGCGTGGAAAACTCCCAATTTTTGCTTCTGATGCTTTCTCTCCCTCCTGGCTGCTGGGTCATACAACTCTCGGTCTCAGACAAAGATTGAGAATCCTGCATAAGTTGCAGAACTGGGTGAAAAGGAAGATGGAGGGGTGTTATTTTCACTCTGAGCAAAGCTTGGTGCCTAACCGATGGTTTTATTTTTTTGCAGGCTGGTTTGTTTTGTTTTGATGTTAAACATGTTGTGTGAATCCAGAACACGGGCTTAAACAACAGACTAACTCTCAGGAAGGAAGGATGATTAAGCTTAGGACATTGTGCAAATAGAGTGGGAACTTATCAAAGAGAGCTAATTTGCCTTTAATTTGGCATGGAATCTTGTTGCTTTAAAATAGGGCTGGGTGTAGCTGCTGTCAGGATTCAAAGGGTGACCTTGAGGGATCTGCATCCATTTGAATTTCTTTAAGTCAACCTAATCATACCTGTAGGGTCCTTGATGCTCTCTGAGTTTGGTTGTTTTCTTATGGACATTTCATTATCCAACTAGGCAACACCAGCAGTGCTACAAGGAAGAGTTCTTTTGCTCATTCTAGCACTGATGATGTTGGGTAATGAAACACCTGCAAGAAAACCACCGGCTCAAGGAGCACCAAGGACCCCACATTTCAACCCTGAGCTACAAATATTCTCATCTATTGACGAATCATACCTGTATGTCGCAGGGAAGTCCGGCCAGGACGGGGCAGCGAGAAACTAAAGGACCGGGCTGGTAGGGATACTGATCCATCGAGGCTGACACTCTTGGTGCGTTTGCGGCACTCAACCGAAAGCAGATCCCGGCACTGTTTGTGGCAATTCACCCCACAGGCTGGGAGGAAGGAGAGAAAAGAGTTGAAGAGAACCAACCATCAAACCTACAGCCCAGCAGTTTCAACCCTGGAGAACTTCAGATAGATAGACCTCAACTCCCAGAATTCTTGGCAATGGGCCTGGTGCCTGGGGAATGCTGGGAACTGAGACCCATGCATATACAAGTAGTCCTCAACTTACAACCACAACTGAGTCTGAAATTTCTGCTTTTAAATGAGATAGTTGTTACTTGTTAACTTTGGGCCCCATTTTATGACCTTTCTTGCCACAGTTGTTAAGTGAATCACTGCAGTTAAGTTAGTAACGTGGTTGTTAAATGAATCTGGCTTCTCCATTGATTTTACTTGTCAGAAAGTCACAAAAAGGTAATCACATGATTCCAGGACACTGCGTTTTAATTTTGATCACGTGATCATGGGGATGTTGCGACAGTCTTAGGTGTGAAAAGCAGCCATAAGTCACTTTTTCCCATGCTGTTGTAGCTTTGAACCGTCACTAAACAAACCGCTATAAGTCTAGGACTACCTGTATAGTGCAAAATTGCAGAGTCGCTTCAACAGCAAGACACTCGGCGTATAAATTTAATACATAAAAATGAACGCATTTCAAACTCCCACAATTCTTAGCAAAGGCCCTGTTAGCTAGCCGGGAATCCTGAAACTTGAAATTCGCACAGTTGAAAGACATCATCCAGAGAGTTGCTACTAAAATGATAGGGAGACTAGTGAAAATGTCTTCAAATTACCTCGACATTTTAGTCCTTGCTTGTAGAGGCCAATGATCTAGAAAGAGAAAGAGAGAGATAAATTGTGGATGCAATAAATTGCGGACTTTTGATTTTAATTTTTTATGGTGCAAGAGCTTGGTTTCAAATGCAGAAAAATCCGTCTTCCTAAATATTGGCATACTGTGTCAAAGTCCCTTATTCATTCTCTTAATGGAGAGTTTCTCAGCTGTGGCAACTTTAAGGTGTGTGCACTTCAACTCCCAGAAGTCCCCAGAGTTGAAGTCCAAATATCTTAAAGTTGCCAAGGTGGAGAACACCGTTTTTATGCCTTAATACTACTGAAGTTAAACTGATTAAAACTCTGCCATCCGTAATTTTGAGTGAAGCAAATCTATTGGGGAAGATCCTTGGTCCACTTCACTTTGCTAGGTAAGTTCTCCGTCCTAAAAAACTTTTTGAATGAATGAGGATTTTGGTCTTTCTTTGCCAAGTTTCCCTGCATTGGGCCTTGATAAAAATTTTATTTGAAATCCCAGAGAATTTGGGATTTAGTGAGCTAAATAATTGCTTCAGGATTTTCTTGCAAGTTAAAAAAATATTTTATTATATTTATGATATTGTTGGTCTTTTTCTTGTTATTGATTTAAACCAGGGGTGTCCAACCTTGGCAACTTTAAGACTTGTGGACTTCAACTCCCAGAATTCCTCAGCTAGCAAAGGTGGCTGAGGAATTCTGGGAGTTGAAGTCCACAAGTCTTAAAGTTGCCATGGTTGGACACCCCTGATTTAAACTGTAAATAAGTTTGGATTCATTGGTTGATTGTAAACAGAGTCCCCTGTCCTGGGAAGAGGCAGCTGAACAATTTTATACATAATTCTTAATCTTATAGGTTGAAGAATTAAATCAAGGAGGTTAACGATAAAGGTAAAAAACTATCATGAGATGAGCTAACTCACAGTAGCTAATGGACGTGTCTATATAATTTTCTTGGTGGCCATCACAGAATCATGGAGTTGAAAGGAACCCCAAAGACCAGCTAGTTAGTGTTTTTCAGACTTGGCCACTTTAACAAGGATGGACTTCAACTCCCAGAATTCCCCAGCGAGCTTGCTTGAATCTGTGTGAACTTTAATTCCCAGAATTCCCCAGCCAGCATGCTTCAAGATGTATAGAGTTTATCAGCCAGCATGCTTGAACATGCGTGGTTTACAGCTCCCCAAAAGCAGGCTGGCTGAATTCTGGGAGTGGAAGTCCACATATTTTAACAGTAGCCAGAGAAAGCCTGATGGGCTTCCTTGCTCCAATCTAGCTGGTTCCCAGTCACTGTTGCGATCACAAGTGTAGGAAATCAGCTCACCAGGCCCTTGCAGTGACGGCAAGCAACTGGGCGCAGAAAGGTGGTTTCATTGAAGTTGTGGATGAAACCCATCTTCCCATTCAGCTCCAAGCTGGACTTCATGAAGTAGGACACCATCTCTTCTCGACTGATGCAACCGTCTCTGTTGGGCAGGGAAGACCATTAACAGGCGGGGAGGTCATTTGGAAAAACCACGCCTCCCAAAGAGTCCCAAACAGGAGCCTTTAGCTGTGTTGGACTACAACTCCCAATGTTCCCAGACATGGGTGCTGCAGGCCAAGATCTCTGGAGGAAACCCTGTTAGCAAAGGGTGTCCCAGGATATGACCACCTTTGAAGGACAGGTATTCAACACCCAAGACTCCATTTAGTCGTTACTCATTAAAAGAATTCATTTTTAAAACTAATTTTTAAGCCAAAAGACCCCCAGATCTGAGCAGTATAAGAACTCCTGCCTCCAGATGTGCTTTCAAAAAGACACAACATGCAAGGAAAGACAGAGGAGGAGGGAAGGGGAAAACAGAAAACTGTCATCATGTTCCTTTGGACAACAGAAACGCCATATTCAGCAGCTGCGTATCTATATTATATTCTATAATAAATGTCCAAATATCTTAGAATATCCTATAATAAATATCATGCTGGTATTACAAGGCTGTTTTAATTTACAACCATAAATGAGTCCAAAACGTCTGTGGTTAAGCATGCCATTTTACGATATTTCTTGCCACAGTTGTTAAGAGTTGTTAAGCTTGCAACGCGGTTGTTAAGTGAATCTGGCTTCCTTGTTGACTTTGCTTGTCAGAAGGTCACAAAAGGGGACCTTCTGGGACACTGCGACCATCACAAATAAGAACCAGATGTCAAGTGTCCGAACTTTGACCACATGACCACGGAGATGCTGCAAGGGTCATAAGCATGAAAAACAGTCACAAGTCACTTTTTTCAGGGCCATTGTAACTTTGAACAGTCACTAAACAGGGACTACCTGTAATTACAATGGTTAGGAGAAGAGAAAGCAAACCAACAGATTTCACATGTAAGCTATCTGGGCTGTAAACCTACAACTGTTTACTCATCGCAGAGGACCCACTGCCCCAAACTCTGCCCAGGGCATTAAACCTTGCCACTCCCTTTCCAAATGTTTCACCTTTCGCCCCGCCAAAGTTTGAATCCAAATAAGAACCGTTTTCTGCCCTGTTCTGATTCCGTTATCGTATTGTCAGTTCAGTTCCAGACCTCCGATATCCATACCTTCCAATCTCCCCTAAAAACTCTCCCTACAGAGGGATTAGATAACTCCCACCATTCCCAGCCAGAATGAGAGCTGAATTCCAGCAATCCCAAGGATAGGTATCTGGCTGAAGTCAGGCAAACACAACTAAGAAGCTTTCTTGGGGCCCTTTTGTTCTGAATGTGTTCTGATGAACGGTTGCAGGAACTGGGAATGTATGGTCTCTCAAAGATGAGCACCAGGGGGACATGATAGCAGTGTTCCAGTATTTGAGGGGCCACCACAAAGAAGAGGGGGTCGACCTATTGTCCAGAGTACCTGAAGGCAGGACAAGAAGCAACGGATGGAAACTGATCAAAAAGAGAACGAGCCCATCAATAAGAACTATGGAGAAATGTCTTGACAATGAGAACACGGGAGGGGAGGGGGTGATTTTACTATATTTATTTGATTTTATGAGTTTTTATGGGATTTTATTCTGTGTTTTATGCTAGCTACAATGCAGACGCCCAACCTCTGGATCCTTTTATCTCCGGCCAGGCATGCCTCTTTCCTGCCACCGATCACTTTATCCCATCACTGCAACATCCTGTTCACGTACGGCAGGCATGACAATCCGGTGTGAGGTTTTGTTTTGGCTCTTTTCCTGTTTTTATCTTTTTGGGTAGCTTTGCAGGCAGTCCCTTTTTTTTTAAGCATTTTTTCTTGCAGAAACTGCAGGGCAAACAAAGGTGTGGCCTTCCGACCAATATTTTTAGTAGATGAAAGGAAGGTCAGGCAGAGGAACTAAAAGAAGAAGAAAAATACCCTCGGTGCCCTTCCCTTTTTGACTGTTGAAGAATCCTATAGAGCTCTAAAGTCTGCACAACTTTTGGAAAGCCTGAGAAGAAGTCCTGGGATGGAGGCTTTTCTGAAAGAGGCCTGAAGCCCACTGGATTTTGCATTAAAAAAAAAAAAAAATTCCCCCCACATACATTTGGTTTAAGCTAATGTTAAGCTTGGAAGAAATGATGATGCAGTAAGAGCCGGCATTGTTAAAAGCAAATGTATGGGAAATAAATTATTATTATTATTATTATTATTATTATTATTATTATTATTATTATTATTATTATTATTATTATT